TGTACATAGTGAAAGGGAAAAAGCTAGTTTAAGAAACCTCAATAAAGAAATAAAACGAAGATGTAAGGCCGACAAAAAACAGTACTATCAAAGTATATGCAAAGAAATTGAGAGACATGGTCAGAATAATCAGCCGAGAGATCTATTTAGAAAAATACGCTACCTGACAAGAGACTTCAGAGCCAGAACTTGGGCCATTAAAGATAACACTGAAACCCTGAGAACAAACAGAGAAGACATAGCAGAGACATGGAGATCGTATTGCAGGGACCTATACAAAGATGATCAACGCCAAGAGCTTGTTAGCCAAATCTCTGACGAGGTGGAAGAAGAACCTGATATACTCGAAAATGAAGTAAGACAGGCTATCAACAAGCTCAAATATAACAAAGCACCAGGTCCAGATATGATAACAGCAGAAATGCTTAAAGCCACAGAAGAAACCGGCGTAAAGTTACTTCATCTACTCTGTAACCAAATATGGCATTCCAAACAATGGCCTGAAGACTGGACAAAATCTACAATAACGACCATACATAAAAAAGGCAGCTTCCATAAATGCGACAATTATAGAACTATCTCTCTTATATCCCATGCCAGCAAGATAATGCTACATATAATCAATGAGAGACTGAAAACATTCCTTCAAAGAGAAATTCCACAAGAGCAAACTGGATTTACCATAGGTAGAGGCACTCGAGAACACCTGCTGAATATAAGACAGATAATCGAGAAATCTAGGGAATTCAACATCCCACTATACATCTGTTTTATAGATTACCGTAAAGCGTTCGACAGGGTCAAGTGGAGACACTTATGGCGAATACTAAAAGAAGTAGGCGTACCACAACATCTAATTACGCTTATAACCGAACTATATGAACACACTACTGGATCAGTTAAAGTACTTGACACACTTTCGAACGAATTTCATCCAGAACGGGGTGTCAGACAAGGATGTATACTATCTCCACAATTATTCAACATATATGGGGAGTATATTATGCGAAGAGCACTTGAAGGATGGGAAAAGGGCATCTCAATAAATGGTCATAAACTAAACAACCTACGTTTCGCAGATGACACAGCCCTTCTTGCAAATAGTCAAGCAGAGCTGATAGAACTTATACGACTGATCGAAAACGAAAGTCAAATATTTGGTCTGCAATTAAACATATCAAAGACAAAGATCATGATAGTGGATAGACTACACAACAATCATCCACACATAACCACAATTGACCGGTTCGAGGTTGTGAGCTCATACTTATATCTGGGATCATTAATCACAAACACAGGGTCATTACAAGAAGAGATTAAACGTAGATGTGATCTAGCAAAAGTTGCCACAGCAAAAATGACCAAAATATGGAAGGACTGTCAAATTTCAAGAGCGATAAAGATGAGGTTGATCAACTGCTTAATATTCCCAATACTGACCTACGGATGTGAATCTTGAACTCTGAGACAATCGGAGAGAAGAAAGATAGACGCCACTGAAATGCTCTGTTGGAGACGAATGTTACGAATTCCTTGGACCGACCGCAGAACAAATAATTTAATTTTAAGAGAGCTAAAAATTAGCCAACGACTCTCTAGTAAAGTCCATCTCCAACAATTAAAATATTTTGGGCATGTTATAAGAGCAAACACAGAAAACATGGAAAGACTCATAATACAAGGAAAGGTAGAAGGCCGAAGATCACGTGGAGGATCCCCAACAAGATGAATATATCAAATTACAGGAATATGCCAAAGACCTATGCATGAATTAAAAGAAATGACCAGAGACAGAGATCTCTGGAGACGGACAATACACGACATCACGTCGACCACTACACTCTCCCTGGGGGGTCAGGATTGAAGAGAGAGATTGATAAAAATCTAGCTACGAGGAAAACAACAATTTTTGGTGCCAAATATAGAACATCGTGCAACAATGTAATATTAAAGTCAAACTATTTTGAAGCTACAGTATACTCTATACAGTATGAAACTGCAAAT